AATGTAGTCTAGCTGTATTTATGTCCTGCTTCCTTAATTTAGGAATTTTTAGAGTAATACTTAGTACCCATCATTAAATTTTTAAATTAATCTGTGATTATTATATTGTATATATTATAACTTAGAGGGCCCACTTACAGTTATTGAGGGAGTCACTACAGCAATTTTACATTTTTTGTAAAATACTGTATATTTTCATTACCCTGTAAGAGAAAGCATTTTTTCTCTCTTCAAGTTTAATATTTATCTTTGACCTAAACTAAGACTGATCCTCTAGTAGTAGCCAGTTAAAGTGTTTGAAGTAGGAGGAGTAAAGGAAACTCCAGGCATTAGTTGTAAGTTAAAAGCAAAGTTAATATAGATGTACACAGCAAAAAAATTTAAAGGATATAAGAAAAAATTTTAAAAACTTGCCTTGTATTGGAACATGTTGGACATCATAAAGAGAATCTTGTAAGTGTGTTTAAATATTTTACTATAATAACACATTAGCTGATGAATGTTAAAGTCATTTGCATATCTATATCAACACTAACTTGAAATTAATGACTAGGGACTATATTTTGCCTGCTTCTTTTAAAGTCCAGCATGGTTTAATAGTTGTGGCTTTTAAAAATCATATGGGATATCCTTATGAAGCTTTATTTTTTATGAGACTAAACAGCAGTATTCATTTTGGTAGGTCCAAGAATGTGATTAAAAGAATCTTAGACGTTTCAGTGTTTGCTGTGTGTTTGTAACAAGGTCTACTATGGTTAACAGTGTGTGAATGTAAAATTAAAATTATATAGAAAAATGCATTTGCATATAAGTTTTAAAATACTTCCATGAACTTTAATATCCTGGGCAACTGTAAAGATCTTTTAAAAATGGCTGTGATGTGCTTATCGTAATTTTGTTTCAGCTGAATGTGTACTTATATACAGTTGTTTAGAAACAAACTTATTTAGATAGGATATAGTTTAAATTTACAAGTAAATTTCTTTTAGTTGAGCTGGTTAAAATGTTAACAGCACTACAGGTTTATTTCTGTGTTTTACATGGTAGACCATAATGTTGAGTTAATTCTGTGGTCTGTTATTTTGTAAAATTGTTTCCTTTTTGAAGTTTGCTCAAATATTGGGAGCTGCCGGAGTCAATCATTTATAATGCTTTGATTAATTTAGAATCTGATTTTTCTTTTGTTGAGGGTTAATGAGAGTATTAAGCTGTTTCTTTTACTGTTTTCATATCCTCACTTCTGTAACTCTGGAAAACATTTTGATCAATGTGAGATAATTTAATTTTGTCTACTTCAAGTCATTACTTTGAAAATTAGATATGTTACAGATACCAAATGCAAATAGATACAGAAATTTCATTTTCAATTCTTAATGCAACAAGATAGCATTATTAGGATCTTTAATATTTTACTTGGAAAAGCTAGCAGTTTAAGAATCATACCTTTATGTTTAACAGGTTCATATCTTACAGGATTTTAAAATATGATAACACTTACCCCAAAAGAAGTTTTGCTGACATGGTGTCACTGTGCTGAAGAGGCTGTTTGATGCCATAGTCCCTCCTTTTTTTTTCAGATAGAACTTGTACCCTCTGTTGTAAATACTGCTTGCAGCCTTAAACTGAAAATACAAACCATACCCAAACTTTGTTTTAGTTTTACAGTATGCCTGGAGTACATAGACTTTATATTTATTTTTTTCTGTCAAGAAATTATGTAGCTGGTAACATGTGAAAGGCAAAGAAACAAAACAAAAAGAGAATGAGCAAATATTTGAAGGACCTACTATTACTGCATAGACTGTGGTTAGAGAGCACTCACTGACTCTGTTGGTCTCGGTGGCTGGTAGTGACCTGCGGAGATTAACCATTTAAAAACCAGAGACTTCTTGCTGTCCTCCAGGAGAAAGTTTGCACCGCACTTGTGGTTCTGTGGTTGTTTGTGAGGCGAATGAAGCATTCACACAATCCAAAAAAGCAAAAGCTTTAAAACTCCTTTTTTTTTGCAAGCACTATTACTGGAGAGGCAGAATCATGTGGTTTGTGACCTCACAGTACTCAAAGTAAAGTGGGACTGCCTACCACTGTGGCTTTTCCCCCTTGCTCTTTCTTTCTCTCTCTTTCTTTCTCTCTCTCTCTCTCTCTCTCTCTCTCACAAAAGGCTTGTGGTAAGGCCTTTCCTGGCATCCAGAAGGATATAGCTTTTTAATTTTTGTGACTCATGAGGATTTGGATAGAATACAAATGCTGAAGGAGCCCAAACTCCTGTAAGGTTAAGCATTTGTAGAGCAGAGTTCTGCAGTTAAGGGCTTTCCTTTCTACTCTCCCCCCCAACCCCTGCCTTTTTGCCTCCTCTTTTTAGTTCATTATTGTGTCTGTGGATAAATGAACAAAATTGGCTCAAGAGTCTGTGTGAAATTCTGAACAACAGTGATGATTTACAATAATTTACATCTTTGGACTGTATCACATTCTGGGGTCTGCTTCATATTTGCTGGGTGGCTGGATTCCTTCTGTTTTCCTTTTTCTTGTCTTCTTAAACTTGTGAATCTGTAACTCATTGTAAAAAAAAGTTTACCTTAAGGTCTGGTTGCAAACTGCTTGCTAGGCTTGACTGTAATTGGCTGTCATGAAAGTGTTAGTCTAGGCATTTTTTTGTAAATTTTAAATCACGTCTGTCTAGTTTATTATCAATAATTTAGATGGCGGCCTTTACAATAACGATTAAATGTAATCTTTCATTTATACCATTATCTCATGCCTAGTTGGAAGATCTTAAAAAAGTGAATGACAGGAATTGTAATATAGTTTATTGGATGAATCTTAGTTTTCTTTATGATTGTAATAATTTTTATCTTTCATGGAATTGTATTCATTTTATATAATTCTTTAAGTAGTTTGGACGTTAACAAAGTTTCTGATAGCAGATCTTCTATAAAGTAAAAATGCTTACGTTATAATGTAGATTATTCACTTTACACTCTGTGAGCTAAGAATAGAGTGGGTTAACAGAAGCTATATTTTTTTGTTTCTAAACCTTTGAAATAAATTACAAAATGCTGTGTGTAGTAAGGAATAATGCCCACAGACAGAGTATGTTAGTCGTCTCGATTTGCTAATTCTGATTCAGAAGAAAATTGGAAACATCTTTGGGAAACTATCTCCGTTTTTGCCCCTTTGGAGAAGTATGTATAGAACTCATTTTCTTATTAGGATGATTATATATCATAGGCAGTGGATTTTATATTTATGAATAGAGCTTCCTGTTTTCATCAGTTGGGAGCGATGGAGTATTTTTCAACAAAAATTATAAAGGCGAACAGACCAATTTTCTAGGCATTTTTTGCCATTTATCCATGCCACTCTAAATCTGCATGTTAGACTTCTTCCTAGTGTGACAGTAACTAGGAGTGGCATAAAGTAAATGGGGTAGGCGGAGACAGTGAATTACAAAACATTATTTGGAATGTACAAGGAGGTAAGGGCTGGGGAGATAGGAGGGTGTTAGAACTAAAATATCCCTGCATTCTTTCTACTACTTTTGATTCATATTAGATCATGATAACTGTACAAATATCTTCATAAGTTTCTTTAGAGAAAATTTGATTTTCCCAAAATACACTGGTAGGGCATGGAGATGATTCTAGTCCTTTATTTTTCAAATGTCCAGACCTTTTTCCGAATAAACTTTCAGTGATAAAATACCAAAAATATATTTTGTTGTTTTAACTACAGATTTTTCATGCCTTATTGTATGTATAAACAGGTTTGCCATCGAAAGGCAAAAGCTCTTTTAACGTGCAGTTATTCATGCGAAGGAGAGGAAAATGATGTTTTCTCTTTGATAAATAAGTTGTACCCATATTATCTGTATCTGTAATTAGTATCCAAAGTAAACAAAAGGAGGGTTTTTTTCATATAGCTTGTGGGATTTCCAAACACAGTTTCATGTGTACATATAATAGCAGAATCAGTTAATGAAAATATGTAGGTAGCTGCTGTTGTATGATAAGCCAATGGTTTTCTTCTTTTGGAATAAGTTCATAGTTTCCACATCAGTATTCACTGAAACATCTTACAAACCCAACATTTTGCTGAATATTTTCTTACTTAAAATTTTCTTTATGTATACTTTGGCTCTCCAAATCGACCTGATAAGAATTTGAGTAATTTTCAACATCTATTTGTCTTTCAATTGCTTGTTCTCTTTTTGAAGGTAATCCTCTTGTATGTAATTTTTGGACCAGGAACATTATTCTTAATGCATAAGAGTTTAGTAGATATTGTTAAATATGCCCTTTTTGTCCTGTGTGAGGCCTATGAAATTCTAGCAGGAGAAAGATAGTGACATCATGTGCTTTCAAGTTTGTATATTCATTATCTACATGATTTTTTTTTCTAAAATATATCCTCTTTGGAGCAAATATTACTTTGTTGTAAAAATTTAAAAAACAAGTGATAACTGGTACGCATTTGATAATTGAAACTATTTCATTAGAAATATTTTACTACATGTAAGGAGATACTGTTTTAGAAAAATGTCATTGCAAATAAAGCCCTTGTACAGATTTATACCATGCTTATAATGAGAAATTGAAACCACAGATTTTTTAAAAAATATATATATATTTTTGTTTTTTAAAGACCCATAAAATGTTATCCTCTTTGGGGACATGTTAGTATTTGCTCTTTTGAAGTAAGCAACAGGTTTAGATGTGCTGTATAGATCATATATTTTAATGCTGCGGAAATGAGATATAGTTTTGAACTTGAAATCAATTTCAAAGAAAAAAGTGGTTGGTATCTTGCTTCTCCATTACTTTGTAGTTAATAAAATGTGTCAGAATTGGTTGAACTTTTAAAAATACCAAGATATTTGTGTTTAAATGCTATGTATGTCTTCATCGTATTCGTTTGAATAATTTTTTAATGATATTTTAAATACATTAGTTTTACTTTATCAATGTCGTGCTCATTTCTATGCATTTATTTTTGTAAGGATTGTTTTAGACTTTTATTTGCTGCTAATTCTATTTTTCTTTTAATTGAAAAAAGAGAAAATGATTTGTAGGAATTTTTAAACGGTGGAAGTCCTAATTTGGCTTAAAAATGTTCAATTATGAGGTTTTTAGGAAGGAAAATTTTAATTTATTGTTTCGTCTTAGTATGTGACTATATTTTCTTATTTTACTTTTTTTCTACAATTTTTCTTTTTTCAGATTTGATCTATAGTTTTTTAAACTTACATGGCATCGATTTGGCCTTATATTGATTACTTGAAAAATGTTTCTGTTAGTAAAATATGTATAGTTTCATTTGTTAAATTATAGTGACTATGCAATATTCCATTTCCTTGTTTAGTGGGTATATGCTTAGGTACACAACTACGTGCACATTTGTCTGATTATGTATGTATACAGGGCATTGTTTTGTAGTACTTGTTGTAATAAGAGTACTTTTTCTCAGTTTATTTTAATTAGATCATGTAAAAACCCAAACTAGCACCATTTCCTTGATTGTTTGAACAACTTCATTTGATTCGTTTTAGCAGCTTTCTCAATGTGAGATTATGTGGAAACTGGATGCCAGAAGAGAAAATACTAAGTCAATCTCTCCCTCCCTCCTTCTGCCCATCTCTCCCCTTCTACCTGTCTCCCCAGTTCCTCCTCTTTCCTTTTCTTTCTCCTTGAGGCTTTTTTGGTTTCTCTTCCTTTTTCCCCTCATTTCTATGCAGCTTCAAAGTAGATTCTTAAGTTCTAGTTGGGAATATTGACATTAATCCTCACTAATGAATACTTGGTAGATTTGGAGCTCTTAACTCATTACAAATTGTTATATTCTGATATGTAATACCTCAGTTGTTAGATGGTATTGGCATCTGATTATAGAGACCTAATTTCTTTTAGCTGTTTTTAATTGTTTCTTGAATCCTTTTATGCTAATTTACTTTAATACATTGTTCACATAGCATTAACACTTTATGAGGATTACTGTGTTTTTTTTCTTTGATTGTTTTTTGAAGTGCAGAGTGATCCATACTTGTTTAATGTAGCTGTATAAGTAATTCATGTTTCTTGTAATTATTAGAACAATTCATCTTCGAATGCTGTCATTTTTGTAATAATAAAAAAAGGCGAGAACTTGCAGAAAATATGAGAAACATGCTCATATGACAGCTGAGGATGTGGCTAGACTAAAGCAGGAAACTACTACCCACAATGCAATGTTACATACACTACCACTTAATAAAATTTATATCAAACATGCTACTGACAAAACCAAAGAAAAATAATATCCCAGCTATGCTATTTAACGTATCTAGGGAGAAGTGAAAGTAAGCTTTTTAGAACCTTTGTACTTAGAGAATATAGTAAATGAAACTGCAGGACATTATTGTATACATTGGAGCACTGCTGTAACTTTGTGCTATGGAACATGGCTGTAGGAAAAACTGTCTTATAATGAGAATCTTTTGTATATTAGCTTTCTTGGAAAAGGTACAAAAAGAAAATCTCTCTTTGAATTAAACTGTTTTAGTATTAAATAAGATTAGAGAATATTCTCACTTAGAAAAATAAGTTAAATTATGAGATATTCATTGTCATCTAAACTTTAAATACAGCCATGTATATTTCTTTACAATTTGGTTTCCGATGTCTTTTATTGCCAAGTTGGGGGTGGGACTTGAATTGTTCACTGAGGCATATTTCTTTTTGAGGTAATTATTTTTCTTGCTCTTCATTTATGTTAATAGCTTACTCCATCAGTCTATGTGCTTTACTATAGGGAGGTTAGTCTAAAGCAAAAATGTGAACCACTTTTATAATGTGGTTGAAGAACATGTTAAGGCATCTTCTAAAAAATCGTGTTTTACTATATTTAAGGTTTCCGTTTATAAATCTTAATCTCCTGTGCCCTTCGCTGTCAGACTTCAGGAATTTTGATGAATTTAGTAACTTAATAATTTAGATGAATTTCAAAGTTTTATAAAGAAGGTTGTTTAAGGTTAAATAAGGGAACATAATAGTTTTTGAACTGATAACTAATGTATAGAAGTTTACTCAGAGGAAGAATAGAAAAGATGATAAGTTAGTATTACTTATGAAGGATTCCCCTCTGAGCATTCCAATATACAAATTGTCAGTGTTTTGTTTCACAGCCGACACAATAATTGTCATCTCATCGTTTAATTGTGAATATCATTGTATGTCTGTCTGTATCTCTATTAAGGATGATTTGCTTAATTGTTTGAAGTTTTTTCTCATGTAGAAACTGCTTATCAATAACAGCTGTAGCACTGTGGCTTTTCTCCATGGACTCATGGTGGTCTTTGGAACAACGTTCTTCAACTTTGACAGGTGAGACAGAGGCTCTCCAGTGCCACTGCTTTTGGATGAATCTAGCTGTGGTTGGAGAAAGTGCATCTTGCCAAAATATATGGGCGAGACCACACACAGCCTTTAAAATAGTTATTGTAGGCTTATTTTTAGGAATACATGTCCTGACAGTTCTTTTATTTTCATGCCAGTTTCATTACTGTGTATAGATTTTTCATTGGTTTCAATAAAGGCGATTGCAGATTTAGGTCTCTATTTGTTAGGCCTTATGTATAATTTAGGCTGGAAAATACCTTGAGTTCAAGAATAATTAAAAATATAGAAAATATATTGAAAATGAAGCACTAGAATACTGATCTTTTTGTTTTTATATATTTGACAGTATTCCCATTGGAAATCTCAATTTCTCAGAAAGCATAGCAGTGAAAACTTGAACCAATTTCATTTTCAAGATTAAAGAAGTCAGGAGAGAATATTAAAATATTCATATATTTTAATTACATTAGTATTAGAAAAAATTTATAAAAGTACGTATTTTTATAATATTAGTATAATAAAGTAAATGTAAGTTTTACACTTTAGTAGAAGCTTGAAAGCATTGAAACCAATTCCTGAAGTCAGTTTCTTAATGCATAGGCATAACATACATGTTATCCCGTCTTTTTATGGGATGATTAAAACTTTATTCAGCTTAGTGAACTATAAAATTGTTTAAATATGTTTAAAAATAAGTATTTCTAGTTTTCTAAAACTCGCTTTTTTAGTGACCAGTAGAGATCACTCTAGACTTTTACAAAATGTTGTGTTTCTTTTTATAAAATGCTTTATTTGGATAATTATTTATGATTCTTATTAAGTTATTAGTGATAACAATATTAAAACTTCCTGGGAATGGGAAGTCACAAGACTTTTTACTTGATGATTAATGCATGCTGCTTAGGTATTTATAGTATGTTTTAACCATCTAAGGTGAGATTACAATTTTTTTCCTAGTTTCATGGGGAAAACAGATTCTATAGAAGTAATTGGAAAATCAGTTTTCTCCTACTATTATCACAATATCCTTCTATTGTTGAATGATTTTGGCAGGTAAGTAGTAGGGAAATTTGGTTCCTATCGCTTTTCAAGAGAACAAGTTTATGGATAGAAGAGAGAATGTATTATATACAAATAGATTGTTTAGAGAAAGATTTGATGCTTGCCTGTCAGAAATTAACATGTATGTGAACCTGATTCTTGCTAGGTTGAAAGTAGAGCTACATAGGTCACTTTTAGGATATTTGAGAAAACTTCGAATATGGACCGGATAGCGATGATACTATGGAATATGTATTAAGTTAGGTGTGATCATGCTATCGTGTTTTTATAGGAAAGTATCCATAGTCTTAAAAGAGATATGAGCTGAATTAATAAAATTATTTAATACATTCATAACATAAATACATTTGTAAAATAAATGTGTCAAAATGTTAGTTGGTGAATATAAATAAAGGATACATAGGCATTTGTTTCACTATTTTTCAGCTTAAACGGTGAATTCTGAAAGGTAAACCATTTTATGTTTAAGGGGTACAGAAATTTGACTTCAAGTGGAAATCAAATAGTTGAGGAAAAGTCACTCATGTATAAATAGTAAATTAAAAAATGAGTGAATGTGAATAGCTTGGTCTATACAGAGCAATTTTTAGATTTTAGTTTATAGTTTTATTCTTTATATTTTATTCACAGTAAAAAAATGACTAGTTTTCACAGTTTATATATGGCAAATATAAATTGAAGATGGTAAAATATTTTTGAAAATCTTAACTTTAAGAATTGTAAAGTGGTATTATGGTAAGTCAAGGCAGAAATTTTTAGAGGATCAAAACAGCATCTGTTATTGTTATGTCATTTGTGTATTTTTAGCTGTATGCTTCTGGAGTATAAATAAATGCTTTAAGTTTATTTACATTAAATACTAATATACTGTACTACTGTTACTAAATTATTCATACTAATACTACTAAATTGTTTATACTACTACATTACACTTTTCAAGCAATATTTTAGTGATCAGAAAACTACATCTCTATGTACGAAGTATTAATTTTGAATTTGTGTTATACTAGCTGATGCCCTACCAGAAATTGACATACTATTTCTAAAGGGCCAAGTAACAAATATTTTTGGCTTTGTGGGCCATAGGATTTCTGTTAACTACCCAACTCTGCCATTGCATTCTGAAAGCAGATGATAAGTAAACAAATAGGTATGGCTGAATTCCAGTAAAACTTTATTTACAAAAACAGGAAGTTGTGGCTGGGCATGGTGGTTCACACCTATAACCCCAGCATTCTGGGAGGCTGAGGTGGGAGGCTCACTTGGTCCTAGTAGTTTGAGACCAGCATGGGTAACATGATGAGATCCTGTGTCTACCCCCCAACCAACAAAAAAGAGAGAAAAATTAGCTAGACACGGTGACATGCCCTTGTGGTCTCAGCCACTAAGGAGGCTGAGCCCAGGAGGCACAGGCTGCAGTGAGCTGTGTTCTTGCCACTGCACCACAGTCTAGGCAACAGAGCAAAGCCCTGTCTCAAAACAAACAAAAGCAAAAAACTTTGGAAGCTGTCATAATAGTTTGCCCACTCCTCTTATTGAATAGGTGAGAATGACTTGTAATAATGAAGATCATATTTCTTAATTAGATATTATAGAATTCTTAAAGTATTTGGAAAATCTTTTTATAATAGTTTATTGTTATGTGAAAGATCATGTCTATGGTATACAATAACCATCTCTGGAATTAAGTCATGCAGGTTCATCTTGATCATATCATTATATTGTGTATCACCCTAAAATCCATTTAGGATGAGGTTGGAATCCAAATCATCTTGACATTTATAATTATTATTATAAATGTCAATTTTAATTTATTGACTTTTCATTATTACTAAGAAGATGTTAAGATTTATATATTTATTCACAGAAATGTTCTTTCTTTTAGAATTCATTAGGTTTAATGCCCAAGCATGAAATATTTTAGCAGAAATCTTAGTAGGCACTGTGAACAGCTATTTTCCCTCTGTTTTATCCATATTTGAATTTCATTCTGAGTGGAAAAAGTTGTTAAATTTGGTATTACTATGTAATCTCCAGAAATAGTCATGGCATCTACCATTGGAGATAATATTCAAAGTAAATTCATTTTCTAAGGATTTACCTATGTTAGGTAGACTTTGAGTATTATTTATTTGATTATGATGCTTACTACTAAGAAAAGTAACCATTTTATGTATTTTTATTGATAAATACTGAACTTGTATTCTGATCTGAATTTCAGATCTGTAGTGTATTAACACTTCAGGTTTTATATAAATGGGATGGCTTTAAGTAACAGCTTATAGTTCAAATTATTGTATACTTTATTTTATCCATGATCATTTTAAGCAATTTCAATTATTAAATATATAGCTAAGAATATGTCTCAAATTTGTTATGGAGGAGAAATCTTCTGCCTTCTTCCTCCTGCTTGATAAACTCTGGTCATTGCCTGTTTGCCCTCATTTGTGAGAAAGTTCCAAAGTGATGGTTTGTACCTCCTTATATTTAATTATAAGACTCATTATAAGACATATTTAATTATAAGACACATAAATCATTGTAAGCAGTTAGAAAGATAACTTGTCTGGGAGGGAAACACACACACACACACACACACACAAAACTAATAAGCATCATCCAGGGCCATTTAATGTGAGGGCAGATTCCCCTCTCTGCCTCAATACATTTGCAAAGGCATTACTGTAGGAATTTAATAAACTAATTGACAAGAGGAACATTTTATTAAGTATACTTTTTATGAAAGACTGGGAAATATTTAATATTTATGTAGGGAAGATTTTCATCTAAAATTAATACATTAAAAATAGTTTTGACATTTAAAGTTATATAATGATGACTTAGGAAAATATCTGAGGAATAAAATTGCATAATAAATGGTTAATATAGATTTATTTTATTTATTTCACTATCTCTTGGTACTACTTTAAATCTCTAGGACTTCTGTTCTTTTTAGTTATAAATTCGTTTTTTTGAAAATTGAGAAATCCTAAAGTCTCCATATTTCTGAAAGAATTTATGGATTATTCAATACAGTTGGTTGGTATATACTCTTTAACATTGCTGTTTAGTTATTTACTCCATGAAATATTTATAAAGTTGATTAGTGATAGTGTCTTAGATTAAGACATTATTTTTCAGTACAGTTTTAAATTTACAGACAAATTGAACACAAAGTACAGATAATTCCCTCCCACCTCCCTGCCACTGCCAACAGCTCTGTTTACTCTTACGAATATCTTTCATTGGTGGTCTACATTGATTACAAATGATGAGCCAATACTGATACATTATTGTTAACTAAAGTCCATAGTTTACATTGGGATTTATTCTGTTGTTGTACAGGTTCGTAGGTTTTGCCAAATGTATAATGTCATGTCTCCAAAATTACACTATCATCTAGAATAGTTTCACTGCCCTAAATATCTCCGGTGCATCACTTACTCATCTCTCTCCACAATCCCTGGCAAAAACTAATCTTTGTCTTCTCTTTCTTTTTACTGGTATATGTATATAGTAGTGGTTAAATACATATAACATAAATTTACTATCTTAACCATTTTGACAACAGATCTTTTTACTCTCTCTATAGTATTGCCTTTTCTAGACTCTCATTTAGTTGGAATCGACTCCCAATCCTGCAATCCTGCAAGCCCTTTTCATAATGCTGTTAATTTATTCCTGAGGGTGAGGCTCTCATGACCTAAACACCTCCCATTTTAAAAATTGTGTTACTTGTTTCTTATTATTGAGTTGTTTGAGTTCCTTATATATTTTATGGTTTGCAAATATATTTTCTTATTCTGTATGCTTGTTTCTTTCTTGATAATTTTCTTTGCTCTGTAGTAGTGTTTTAATTTATTATAATCCCATTTGTCTACTTTTGCTTTTGTTGCCAGTTCTTTTGAGGTCATATCTGAAACATTATTATCCAAACTAATTTCATAGAGCTTTTTCCCTCTGTTTTTTTTCTAGTAATTTTGCAATTTCATGTCTTATATTTGTCTTTAATGAATTTTAAGTTGATATTTATGCATGTTGTTAGATGAGGATCTGATTGTATTCTTCTGCATGGAGATAACCAGTTTTGCTGGCACCATTTATTGAACAGACTTTCACTCATTTTGTGTTCTTGGCATCTTTATTGAAAATCAATTGACAGTAAATATGTGGATTTACTTCTAGGTTCTCTGTTCTGTTCTGTTTGTTTGTATGTGTGCTTTTATGCCCATACCATGCTGTTTTGATGACTGTAGCTTGATAGTAGATTTTCAGATTAGGTAATATGCAGCCTCTGGATTTGTTCTTTTTGCTCAAGACTGCTTTTGCTATTTGGGTCTTTTGTGGTTCCAAATGAATTTTAGGATTGTTTTTTCTGTTTCTGTGAAAAGTGTCATTAGAATTTTGATAAAGATTACATTCAGTCTGTAGGTTACTTTGGGTAGTCTGGGCATTTTAACAGTATTCTTTTTTTTTTTTTTTTTTTTGAGACAGGGAGGGTCTTACTCTGTCCCCCAGGCTGAAGTGCAGTGGCATGATCTCAGCTCACTGCAACCTTTACCTCCCACGCTCAAGTGATCCTCCCACCTCAGCCTCCTGAGTAGCTGGAACTATCAGTGCATGCCACCACACCCAGCTAATTTTTGTATTTTTTATAGAAATGGGGTCTCACCATGTTGCCCAGGCTGATCTCAAACTTCTGAGCTCAAGTGATCTGCCCACCTTGGCCTCCTAAAGTGCTGGGATTGCAGGTTCCACATTGCATGAGCCACTGCATCTGGCCTTAATAATATTCTTTCAATCCATAAAATTAGAGTACCTTTCCATTTAATTATGTCTTCTTCCATTTCTTTCCCCAGTGCCCATACAGGCGTGAGCCACTGTGCCTGATCTTAACAATATTCTTTCAATCTATAAAGTTAGGATATCTTTCCATTTAATTGTGTCTTCTCTCATTTCTTTCATCAGTGTTTTATAGTTTTCACAGTATAGTGTAGAGTCTGTACTTCTTTGGTCAAATTTATTTCTAAGTATTTGCTTTTCTTGGTAGCTATTGTTAATGAGTTTTTTTTTTTTAAATTTATTTTTTGGACAGTATGGAAATGCTACTGATTTTTGCATGTTAATTTTGTATCCTGCAAAATTACTGAATTTGTTTATTTGTTCTAACAGTTTCTGCCAGAGTCTTTCAGGTTTTACTCCATGAAAGATTATGTTGTCTGCAAACAGATGACATAACTTTTTCCTTTGGATGCCTATTATTTCTTTCTCTTATCTAATTTTTCTTGGTACAATATTCTTTTTTTTTTCAATTTTCATAGGAGTTATTTAGTATTTACAACTTTCAGCATAGACATTCCCTGATTCATTTTTATTTTTTTAATATTATTTTTTCATAAGTTATTGGGGTACAGGTGGTATTTGGTTACATGAGTAAGTTCTTTAGTGGAGATTTGTGAGAACCTGGTGCACCCATCACCCAAGCATATACACTGAACAGTATTTGTTGTCTTTTTTATCCCTCACCCTACTTCCCCCCTCAGCTCCCCAATGTCCATTGTATCATTCTTTTATTTATTTATTTTTGAGACAGAGTCTCACTCTGTTGCTAGGCTGGAGTGCAGTGGTGCTATCTTGGCTCACTGCAACCTCTGCCTCCCAGGTTCAAGTGATTCTCCTGCCTCAGCCTCCGGAGTAGCTGGGACTACAGGCACATACCACCATACCTAGCTAATTTTTGTATTTTTAGTAGAGACGGGGTTTCACTGTTTTGGGCAGGATGGTTTTGATCTCTTGACCTCGTGATCTGCCTGCCTCTGCCTCCCAAAGTGCTGGGATTCCAGGTGTGAGCCATTGTGCCCGGCCTGTTGTATCAGTCTTACGCCTTTGTGTCCTCATAGCTTAGCTCCCACACATCGACGAGAGCATATGATGTTTGGTTTTCCATTCCTTAGTTACTTTACTTAGAATAATAGTCTCTAAGCTCACCCAGGTCATTGCAAATGCTGTTAATTCATTCCTATTTATGGCTGAGTAGTATTCCATCATATATATTCACTTGTTGATTGATAGGCATTTGGGTTGGTTCCATGATTTTGCTATTGTGAATATTGCTGCTATAAACATGCATGTACAAGTATCGTTTTTGAATAATGATTTCTTTTTCTCAGGGTAGATACCCAGTAGTGAGATTGCTGAATCAAATGGTAGTTCTACTTTTAGTTTTTTTAAGGAATCTCTACATTGTTTTCCATAGCAGCCATACTAGTTTACATTCCCACCAGCAGTGTAGAAGTGTTCCCCAATCGCTGCATCCA